CAATAAGGTTTGGATTTAAAATCTATGACAACCTTTGTTCATAACAATCACATGGTTTGGAATTAAGAAAACTAGATTGAAACGATCATTTAAGTAAGTAGTGAAGATTGGAAGCAGGGTGGTATTCAGGTTGACATTTCCTTTCTATTTGCACTACACGAAGGGTTAATAAGGTTTGCATAACCTTATTCTTTGAAGGCTTTTTGGCAGAGGCAGACTATTGAAGGATTGCTGCCAAAACAGATTTTAACCCTTTTAATCATACTGTTAATAACCACATTGTACACGGTACACAGCATACTGCACGTAAGGCAATATCACTCTGAACACAGTTTGACCTGATACCCAATCAAGGAAAGGTTCCTAGAGACGCTTGCCATTTTGGTTGCTATGGTGAGTTTCATATTTTATGGAAACCACGGCTAGATGTCTTAAAATAGACCTTTGCCAAGAAAAACATTGGTCCAGTGGCATATGCTGGCAGAGCCTACCAAGGTTGCTCAAATTCCCTTCCTTTGTTTTTCACTCTCCCCACTGGGGCAACTGCTCCAAGCATCAACCCACTAGTCTGGCAGGCAGAGAATCCAGAAACTTGCTGCTAATTACAATGTTGACAATTCCCAACCTGTTTACTGGCGCCAGCAATCAAACCGCATCCTCTCGAGTGAACCAAAAAGCACTTGCTGGCTTTAGCTTCCTGAGGTTCCAAGCTGGCTATATTAATTACTGTTAACTTAAAACTGTATGTTGTACAGAAGAAGCTTAATTAGCTGGTATGAGGATTAAAATCTATCCTTTACACAATTTAAAACATTTTGTTCTTGGTCAAATTATGTGAATCCATAAAACATTTTTCTTTGGACAAAATATTGATTATTTTAGGTGCGACTTCTCAGTGCCAATTTTTCCACTGGATTATTTTCATTTGAGCACCAAAATAGATTTTAAAGAGCCAATCTATCTGTCTGTCTGTTTATCTACCTATATATCTTGGGATTATATCTACAACCTTTTTTAAAAACTTGAGAAAAAGAATGAACATAGTCATTTACAGTTATTGTTTATAATTAATAAAATAGGAAAACCTATTAAACGGGATTAAATGGTCAAAAGGATATCCACTTTCTATCTTGATGAATTTGAAACAAAGATAGTTACACCACTTTTTCTAGTGAATCCTCACTGCTATGATAGAGGAATGATTTGGTAGTCATATGGCACATAATGATGTATCTATCAGCAACAGGTAGGATATACAATGGTGGTCCCATAAACTTGTAATACTGTATTCCTACTATGCCTTTTCTATATTTAGTTGTGTTTAGATACACAAATACTTACCATTGTGCTACAATGGGCTACATTATTCAGTATAGTAACATGTGGCTGCACAGGTTTCTAGTCTAGAAGCAGTAGGCTGCCATACAGCCTAGGTGTATAGTAGGCTATACCATGTAGGTTTCTGTAAGTACATTCTATATTGTTCCTACAATGACAAAATTGCCTAAGGATGTGTTTCTCAGAATGTATCCTTGTCATTAAGCAACATATGTATAAGAAGCATGCTTCATGATTGATAAGTTGGTTGAACCCACAGTGAAAAATCACCTTCTCACACCCCTAAATGGTTAGCATTACAAATTTTGTCACCCAGATGTGGCAGTGGCAGACCACCATGCAATTTTCATAAACAGCACAACAGAAGTGAACAGGGTTTTGCCAAACTGAGAATTTTACTTTGATTCTGCCCTAATCCAATAGCCGATCTGTCCTTCTTTATTCAACAAGATAGCTTTGAACATTTAAAAAGTGAAGTAAAAGTAAATATAATTTTAAATTGTATATTAAAATGTGATTTTATTTCTGTTATTTGATATGAGAGCATCGTGGAGTCACTGTTATTTAACAATGTTACTTTAAATTTTTCATTGAATACACTGCATGACAAATATTTTTGTGTCCAATCTTTTAGTTGACATTTGCATTTGGAAGCTTATTAAACTGAGTTGATATACTTGTGATTAACATTGTCCTTGTTTTACCGAAATATTTCCAACTAGGGTAAAAGATCAAGTTATTCCTTTAATTATGATTCATTTTCTGTTTCTACATTAAGATAGCCTATACCATTTTCCAAGATTTAAAAAATCATTAGTATAAGCACACTAGAGACCTTTGGAATATGTTGATACATTCACATCTACATATACAATATAAGAATTTTTGAAAAGTTTAGATTAATTGGGTAAAATATCACTGAATAGTATGAAAAATATAAGAATTATTCTCAGACAATAGGAAGAGCAACGTTGTGAGAAAAACTTCAACATTTAGTGAAGTTTTAGTGTGGTGTATTAGAAAAAAAACACCAAACAAGGACTTAGAAAATGGGTTACTAATATTATCTGGGTGTCCATGGAGAAGTTACTTGGATTCTCTGCATTGTGAGGACTTCATGTGGGTAACATGGGAATTGTATTACATACCAAAGAACTAGATCTGAGATAGAAATTTATAATGACAACTAAATATCATATGAATTTACTATGAGCTTATCAAAGACTTTTGAAATTTTGTATTCCATGTGGATATAGGAATGGAAAATAATCGTATTAAAAGCAAACAAATGATCAGGTGGAAATGTTATGTATTTGGAAATAAGGGCCAAGTTAGACAAAGACAAACATGTCAATCTTCTCTGTCTTCATCATGGTTAACTAACAAATAGATTTCCTCTCTAAAATCTAAATCAATTAAGGGAATGGGAAAAACTAAACTCTTGGTATCAGTATTTTATATCAGGAAATACTGTCTTAACAAATCCTCCTAGGTTACTTTACTTCTAGAGCACAAATTCAAGTATCATACATATATTTTCTAATAGAAAAACTGTTTAAAAGGCTGTCTCTTTTAAGCCATGTTCCCCTAGGCTCAATTTTCAGAAGTCTCTGTCTTTTCAGACTGATACTCTTTCTTTTACTTGAGAAACATCCAGATTTCTTGCCTTTCTCAGTTTTCTACAGATAGGCTAGGCTTAGTTTATTCAGAGATTATTTCTATTTTAATTGATTCAAAGTTCTATATCAGAGCATGACTTTGAAAGCAAGAACTTTTTGATACACTTGTCACTCATACTATGAAAGAATCTTTCTACGATGAAAGAATCCTTCTACACAGATAAACTATATAAAATCAATATTGAACACTATGCATCACAACAGGGCAAAGGGTACCATATAACAAACAAGACCTCTTCTAACGTTTTCTAAAATTGATATTTTTTCAAGGTGTACTGGTCCCAGACACCAGGATTTTCATTATTGTTACTTAATACATCACCAAAATCTGTGCATTGTTCACTCCAGCCCACATCATTAATACTGTTACTTGCTATCGTTGTCCCTTTTCTCTTGTCAAATCCAATTGTTACCTACACAAATCGCCAAATGTAAATGTGAAACCGCCTCAAAAGTTTAACGTCACTCACTATTTTTAATAAACATAGCGTTCACAACTAACAGAAACCTGCTTGTTTGTGGTAAAGAATCTCCTTATTTTGACTCTGTTCTAATATATAATATTAAAACAATCTCAAAGCTGTTTTATGGACAACCACATCCAACAACAAAAAGCAACATGAGATATTTTAATAAAAGTGTGAATAAATGACTTCCAAACCGCATACTCCTACCCCCAGATATATATTTGAAGGCAATTACTTTTGAAAACTTTGTAGAACTTTTATTGAACTTATTCTCAGTTTTTATTTTTTAATTAATTTTTTCTCTTTAAATTTCTATTCTTTTTATGCTTGATTCCGTGTAGCACAGAAATCAGTCAAAGTTTTCAATGGACATAATATTTTATACCCATAATTAAACTGAGAATGGATAGCATGTAAACTATCTGATTAAAGCAATAGCTGATAAAGCATATTATTTTAATTTTTAGACAATGAGTGTATTGTGATTAAAAAGTCAACTTATATTTACTATACATTGAACATCCCAGAAAGTCACACCTTTCAAATAAAATTGTAACTTAGTCTGTTTTCCTAGTAAATAATTTTTTAAAATTAAGAAAAAAGTTACACAGATCTTTAGCTTTGAAAACATACCTATCACAGTAATTATTATACTGCATAAAGTACGTGTCTATTGATTACTTCTTAAAACTTTATAAATCCTTACAAATATGTATATATTTAATATTAAATAAAATACATTAGGTAACATTCACATGGACTAAAATTTTCTATTTCAGTAGTAGATTAAACAGCTACTTGGAGTTTCAAAAAGAATACCAGCTTGAAAGCAATGTTCTCATGGATTTTTCCATTATTTAAAAGTTATATCAAATAACCAGAGACAATGTATTTTCCTTCTTGGCAACGAAGAACTGCACTATCAGTACACAAATTTGAGAATTAAAATTTATGTCTAACATTAAATTAAACTTAAATATATGCAGTACAACAATCATTTTATATAATAGTGACTTTAAATAATTATGAAAAAATGTAAAACTTATATTAACGTATGCCCCAAAAGGATATCATTGCTTTCACAAAATTCATAAATATTTTGAGCACCTACTATGTGCCAAACACTGGACCAGGTATTTTAAAAGATTAACCATTTTAGAATAATTAAATATCCTAGACAATTATTGGTCCTTTTAACAGAATGGAAACAAACACAGTAATTTTCACGCTCTTCCAAATATTGTAATTGAATTTAATAGTATAAACATTTACACAAGGAGTAAACATTTTTAGAGGCCAACTGTTCATGTTCATTCTTTATCCGCTACAATCATATAAATCAACTTTGAATAGAGTTGTTTGTGATTTGGCCTCATTAGGCTAAAATGCTTATGAAGATAGATCTACGGTTTGAGTAGCTTCAAATTTATTATACAGATATACATATGCATGTACTCCCATGCTAACACATTAGAATGAATCCGTAAAGTATTCTTTGGGGGCTTTTTTTCCCTACTAAAACTTCAAATAAAAAATGAAGTATGAAAAAGCAACAAATATTTCCATGTGTTTCATGCTTTAAGAATTTAAGTAAAAATCTTAAAGACCATTTTATTATTTAATACCAAGACAAAATGTTGGTGAATACTTTTTAAAAGCTTCTCTCTTAGTTGTGATATCAATTGGCACGCCATCTTTACATGAAATGAAGAATAGAATTCAGACCACCAAAAAAAAAAAAAAAAAAAAGACTTTCTTTGAAATGGAACCCTAAAGAGGTAAAAAGGCTTTAAGCGAATCTAAATCTAGCCCTTCTTATGGATGAGACAACCGAAGACAAGGCAAGCTGTGTGACAGGTCCATTGTCATAGTTCACAACAGAATCTGTACTCGAAATCAGAATTTCTAGTCTTATTCCAAAGTTCTTTCTACCACAGGAGAGATTCTCTCTCCTTAAGTATCATGTCATGAGGGACAAAATGAAATTTGAGATTTCTCCGTGTAACGGCCTCAATTCTCTAATTTGCTTTGTTTCAGTAAACACCAAATCCTATATAAATAACAGTTATGAAAAAAACTACATGAAACTGGATCCATAAAGTAATCATTTTACAACTTTAATTCCTGTGTAGTTACCTGTAAAACAATCCAGGATATTTGGAAGTCTTATCATGATATATTTCTTTTACAAAGGAAAAGATCTTTTTCTCATATCTGCTTCTGACAGAATAGCAGGCATGACATTCATTCATTCATTCATTCATTCTTCTTGGAGTACAAAAACTAGCGGACTATTTGGCAGATATATAAAAAACTATTTTAAATGAGTAATTTTTAGTTTATCTTGAGACTTGTTTGAACCAGTTCTTGAAATTGACTACACTAGCTTAGAGAGACAAAAATAAGCTTCAAACAATTAATACTCACTCATGTATTGAATACAAATTTTAAAAACAAAATTGCAAGAAATATCAATTTTCCAATTAAAATGTATCATTTTTATAAAAATAATCTTTTCAAAAAAAGTGTTTCCAAAAAGCACACATTTCATTCAAGTTTACAAATAGACACTACTTTCAAATTATGCAATTATGTCACTATTGTAATATAGTTTGTCAACTTTTTAAAAAGCATATTATGATATAAATTGCATTTGAACTGAAAACATAGTATTAACAGATTCCAGCAATATGTCTTCTTTAGTTCGTAATTTAACTGAATGAGATTCAGTATTGGTTTAAAATTAATAAAGGCAATAACCCTTATTTAAAATCTTTGAACTGCATGCTTTAGGACTCAGGTTTTTAACATTTGGTTCTAGCTTGATCTACTATATATGTATATATTTTCAAATACTAGGAGTCTCAAAGGGCTTTTCCACAAACAAAGCAAATGAAGTGTTGTCTTTACCCTTGCATATGCATTATAATATTTTAATTGTGTTGAAGATCAGACTGCCTTGCTTAGCTCACATTATTATTAGCCAGGATAACAGAACTCAGAACTCACAAGATATAGTTGGCAATACATTTTTGAGCTGGTCAATGATACAAATATACAGATATACTGATTTTATTGTTAGGCTGCCCTCCACAAACTCGACTAATTACTGGGTAATAAACACATTTCAAGAAATTTTAAATTTTATAATATATCTTTTCTGGCTTATGTTTTTTTTGGATGAACTGCATTGTTTCCTCAACTAAAATGTTTATTTTATACACTCATACAAAATGTTTTCTAGACTTAAACATAAGACTTGTAAGTCATGATTTAAAGTATAAGCACTAAGATAAAAATCTGAAAACATTTAAAAAACAAATTGTACTACAAAGCTATTTGCTTAAAATCTATTTAGCATTCGTGTTTATAGTTGTACAGCTATCAATAACTAAATTCAATAGCTAAATGATTTAAAAGTCCTTAAATATTCTGATGTCATTATTCCATTTTTTCTTCTTACTGAAAATACATCCAAAAGAAATTTACTTTTAAATAGTAAGTCTCCTATGCAGAATACACTACTTTCCAACACTGTAAGAACATCATTCTGTCATTTCTGTAATACAATGGTAGCTGCACCTGTACATATTGACAAGATGGTGAACAACTGTGATGGCCTTATGCTGTCTTTCCTTCTATGTCCTTAGTACTTCTCCTCTGCCCTACATAAAACACAAAAATGTTTCCCAATACACCCATCATCTCTACCTTTGTTGTATATTTTTATATTTGAATATTTCTCATGACTAATGTGGAACATAAGACAAAAATTGATAATAGGGTTTATGGAATATTCCTTCCATCAGAATGCTACTTCATCGTTTCTTGCCTTTGCTTGGACTTTCACTGGGACCTCTGTTCTGGTTCTAGATTGCCATTGCTCTGACACCAACAGCCACATCATTCTAGGGCTCACAATGGCCTCGGGGAAAGTTCACGGGGTTGTCATGATGCTCTATGGATCTTTAACCATGAATACCATCACCACTCCCCACAATTCTATTCAAGCAACAACATCAGAACAGGATTCACAAATACAAAGAATAAAATAAGCAAATTTTCTGAAAAATGCAGTTTCTATCAATCTGCTTACTTGGGACCCGGTAGCAAACGACCAATCGAGCTGATGTTTCTTCTTACACTTATTAATGAATATTATAGTATAAAATTGATCATTTATAGACATTATATAAATTTAAATGGGCAACCTAAAATCTCCCACCTATACATCACAAATTGTGTTCATAAATTCTGAGTATTTAGGCAGGCTTTATTAAAGTAAAACTGGTGGACAAAAGTAATTTTCACAATTTGTCTCCCTTCTCCTTTACTGTGCCCTCAGTATTGTCAAATGAACAGCTTAAGCTGAATCTGTGTTCCTTTTTTCAGGAAAAATTTATATCACCTTTGTAAAGCAAAACAAATATTAGAAAAGGCTGCTTACCCTTCTAGTATTAGGACATCAATTGAAAAGCCATCCAAAAATTATGACTACTTAATACTACTTGGATCTAGCATGAAAAGCACAAACAAGCATTTTGTACTTCCTTAATCTTGGCTATGGACAGTGACAGGGCAAAATCAGTAATTGACTAGTGGTGATAGACTTTTAAATTATTTTTCTGGAAAGAAAAAAGCTGCCTTGTAACAATAAAAATTACCTCCAGTAATTTCAACTTAATAAAGTTTTAATTTTTCCCACTTTCTTATCTTAAAAGGTCTGATGATGGAACATTTTCACCCCAAACTTAAATAAGAACCAGTTCAGTCAGACTGACACCTAATGGAAGTTTTTATAGGAAAATGATTCTGCAAAGGAAAGAAAGCAATGAGATAAGTATTTAAACAACAACAACAAAAATACTTTGTTAACTATGAGTAGAGGTTTCCTTTAGATTTAATCACTAGCATCTGCAATTATTCCACTCTAAACATTACTCTTCTTCGATGAAGCAACTGCAATAAATCTGCACGAAACTGAATAGAATAGCTTATTTTTCAAAAGTTCTTCCTCATCCCCTCAACAAATGCCAGAGTGTTACATCTTTGGTTTCTCACAAACTCTGTCACCAGGCCTTCAACTCTCTTTCTTCCTTTCAAATCCTAAACACTTCTTATTTAGCCAACCAGCATGAGGCCAACTTTCTAGAGACCACCTAGGAGCTAAAGTATGTAGCTTCTACTTTTCTAATTTCCCAATGAAACAATGCCACCAGTAGACATATTGCATTTTGTTAAATACATAACAAGCACAATATTTAAAAGCCCTAAATCACCAACTGGTGGATCCCTAGAGAAAGAAGGTAATTCATGGAATAATGAAGGAAAGAACAGGAGTTACATATTCTCTTGCTGGTGATAGAATGTCGAATGCAAAGACAGCATCTGTGTTTTCTTTCCTACTTCAACTCATTCTTAAAATGGACTCGCCCCCGGGAGCTTCTGAGAAGGGCTCCACCCGTTCCCTGCAGACAGCAATGTTTTTTGAGCGCAAAAACTGTGAGTATAGATACCCTGGGAGTAATTGTGGGATCAGACACAATGGGGTGGGATTAGGGGTGGGGAGAGGGTGTGTGTGGAGCACCCTTCACTGGGAATCCTAAATATTAGAAGAAAGGCGAAACCCTAGGTGGGGAAGCATGAGAGTGTGTCTGCCTCCTTTAAGACACCTCGGTATCAGCCTCTCCAGGATTCAGACCACTCTTGTGGGCAAGAGCACAGTGGGGCAGACGCACTTCGTGCCTGGGAAAGGCCCATCCTCCAGGGGGAGAAGGTGTATGAGTTGCAGGTCAGCTTAGAGGGATCCCAGAGCGACGAGAGGGAGAGCTTCGCAGGCCTCTAAGTTTATTTGATTTTTCTCCTGCAGTTTCCATTTCTCAGAAATTCAGTCTTCGTGCGCAGCCCGTGCACAACCAACGACCACTACGCAGGGAGGAAACCTGGTCTTAGTGTTTGGCCGCGCTAGTGAATTCTTCTGGGCCCCTGGTACGTTCTTGTCCCCAGCACTCTGTCCTTACACTTTTGAAGCGCCTTGATAGGACGGTCCCAGATGCCTCACAATAGGGAAAGGCAAAGTGCAAAGCTGGCAAAGTTGTGTGGTTCGACGCCGGCGAAAGCTGAGACCTGGATCACTGGCCCACGCCTTCCACTCTGGGTCATCCTTCCCAGCTCCATCTTGGGCATGCCAACTCCTGCCACGTCCGATTGTCCCCAGAAGTGCCCGGGCATGCTTGAGGGGGTTGGTGGCGGTAGCTTCCTCTTCGCTAGGAGGTGACAAATCCGTGTTGTTTTATCGTCCATTAATATTTTGAAACAAACAAAAACTCGAAGTAGAAGGAGGGAGAGGCTCTCTCTTGCTCCCGTCCCTTCGCAGCTGACCTGAGAGAGGGGACGTGCCTTGAGTTTGTTGGTGTTTGAGACTCGTCCTAAAGGCAGAGGCAGGGAAGACAGCGCTGAAGAGGTGTCCCAAAGAGATTGGACGTCTGAACAGTCACTGCCTGCCCCAACCTCTTTCAGGAAGGTTCCAGGTCTGTGCCACACTGCAACCAATCCGGTTCCCATCCTGTTTCTCCACCCCTTCTCGGAGAATCCGAAAAGAAAATATGCGTTCCTGAGAGACCCGCCACACTTCCGATCTGGAAGTTCCGCGGGGACCCAGCCCCCGGACCCCCGCCCCCTCCCCAGCTCGACCGCCTAGTCTGGTTGCGGAGCGGCGCGGCCGGCCGGGGGTGGGGCTCCGGCACCGCCCCGGGCCCGGGATTCGCGAAGTCACGCGCTTCCGCAGGCTTGTGGGGGCACCTTCGCCCACGGACACGCCCTTTCTGCGGAGGCAGCCCCCAGCGACCCTTTGCCCAGCTTCAGCACCTCACTCGCGACGCTCCCAAACTGTCAAGGCCTTTCAGTCGTTCCCAACTTTAGAAAATTGCCCAGAACGCGTGTCTCCCCCGAGTCGCACCCCACCGTGGAGATGAGAGGAGCGGGCAGGGGACGCAGAACCGCCCCACAGGCTCGGGGGAACGGACCCCCTTCCTCTCCCCGCCCATCCCCTTCACCTTGCCCCCCGCCCCCTGCGCGAACCCATTTTCCAGTCCTGGTCACCAGAGGCGCAGCGCACAGCCTTTCCGGTGGAACCAGTGCGAAAACACCCGAGGAAATGAAAAGAACAAGAAAGTGCTACCTTGGCAACCACGGGCGTTTAGTGGCCAGCTGGTGGGCTGGGGAGGGCGGCCGCTGCCCCCCTGCCGCTGGTACTCTCCTCGACTACGCGTATTCTTAAGCAATAACAACGTAATCCGTATTATCCACCCAAGAATACCCGTCACCGAAGAGAGTCAGAGGACCAAGCTGCCGCTGCCGCTGCTACCGCTGCCGCTGCTACTGCCGCCGCCGCCGCCACCAGAACTCTTGCTGCTCGCTGAGCCCGCCCCTGGCTGGGGATGGGCTGAGCTTGACCGGGACCATAAATCCATAACTCGATTTCCCTAAAGAAGGATCCAAAGCTGTGCTCGGCTGCTTCCTGCCCAAATCCAAATGGCCGCTCTATTTCCAATTCTGAAAGACAAATCACAAAACCAAATACTTAACATAGAAGAGTGCTGTCTTTCCAGTGAGGAGGAAAGATGTGGCAAGGATCTTTGGGCAGAAGTAGGAGTGACAAGTAACCTTCAGTTTACCTGGTGCTCTCCCAGTGCCTTCCTCTGCACTTCTCTGCTTGGTACCCAGTCTGGTCTCGGCCAGTCCACTCTAGGTGGTTTGATTGAGTGCCATGGCAGCCAGAGAACCCTGTAAGAGACATGAATAGTTACCCACACAAACATTACAGATATATTTGCCTAGACGGCTTTGGAAAGAAGTGAGGCTTAAATAAAGATAGGGTCATGCATGGGTGAAATTTTCAGTAGTATGTTTTGGAAATGCATTTTTCTCAAGTCCAAGATCATAGAAAATAAACAGTCATTCAATTTACTACTTGAAATCAAATACTTATAGATTTACAAAAATAGGCATCTTTCCTTTGAAGGCCTTAGAGCTATACAACATAATGATTTTTAAAGAAAAAAAAAAGCTCCAAGGCTTACAATAATTAAATCCATTTTCCATAGTATCAAAACTAACTGAGTTGAGAAGCTGGTAGAGTTTCTATGATTTAAGTATCATTTTATATCACCACAATATTTAATTTCATAGCACACCTTTAAAATATATACTATAAATGCATTGCTGTACAGCTGTTGTGGACACCTCTACAGAAAAACCTTTGAAGCTCTCAGTTCATAAAAATTATTTTAAGAAGAGAAAGCCAATAAAAACTCATTTACAAAGTGAGTATAATTTTGGCATTTAGAGAGAGAATCTCTGTGATTCTTTGATGATCAATATGGCTCTTACTGGAAAAGCTTTGTCTTAAGATCCTGCAGTGGATATTCTGATAATGGGGGTTTATTGTTCACTAAATAAAATGGACAAGTGCAACGTCACTACCCAAGACATGGTGTAGCTTCATTAGAAAGTTCTCAATTTGCTTTCCCCTTTACTCTCAAATACATGAAAGTACATCCATGTAAGGGGAATGGGGGGGAATATGGAAACATGGCAATAGACATTATGATTTCCCAAATTATGTAAGTGCAAATAGCTCTTCATCAAGGAGTAATTATATAACAGAATCTCTCCCACTACCACAACTCATCTTTAACTGACCTGGTTGCAATTTAAGGCACTTAGGTTGTGCTTGCTCTTATTTTTTTTTAAAAAATATAATATTTATCCAGGCACACCAACTCATCATTTTCTTGACATGTTACTTACAGATGGAAAAATCAACTTGAATTCTAGGTTTTATGAATAGATGTTTAATATATAATGTCTGAACCTAAAATAACTAGAAAGAAAACCAGTATAGCCCAACTACCAGACTGTTTTACATTATTTTCAGATAACTCTTAAGTACACCACTTACAAAAAGACAGATATCAATAAAACAAATAAATAAGCACTGTTTTATGCTGTTACCTAACATAGGTATAAAGTAGAGCTTTTCTCTGGGGCTAGAACCAAAAGAAAAAAAAATTCAGAAAGCTGACAGGTTCTCTTCAGCTTGAACTCCTAGAAACAAAAGCCCTTAGGGAAAGTAATGCAATAGTCTATGAGCAAAGTGTACATTTGCTTCTGCACTCTTCTATTTAAATCTCAACTAATATTAAAAGGAAAACAAGAAACACATTATACAGATAGGCTTGGATTTACTAAATGGAATGTTTTAAATTCAAAAGGATGGTCAAGGGAGGCACACACACACACAGACACACACACACACACACACCAATACACAGGGCATCAGAATCACAGCATAAATACCCACACAGCTTTTCAATGCTTTCCAAGTAGTCTCCTTCAGTTTTGCTTCCTCACAATTAAAAAGAAATATATACACACAGTGACCCACAGACTCACAAGCTTTAAGAAACTAGAACAACGCAGTTGATATGCTTTCTTTCTACCCAAGTAGCAGTGCCAGCCTTTTCCCTACCTACCCAATGTTCCACCAGCTTCAGCACCTGGACGAGTGGACAGCTCAACCCGGGCCGACTGCCGGCAGCACTCGCAGCAGAACTGACGCTCTGAGCTCTAACCAAAGCTCTCTCGTGCTTGAGCGGGGCAGCCTGACTTACGAGAACACCATTTCCTACGAGACCACTGCCGCTGGGTGCATATTCAATTCAAGCCTCCTTAAGCTGTCGGATTTCCCCCACCCATCCACCCTCCCCCTCTTCTCCACCCTCCACACAAAAACAGAAAAGGGAAAAAGCCCAATACCATTAGGGCGTTTGTTGATCAACTTACACTTCGCTTTTGAATATTTAGATACTGCTAGCGGAACAATATCAGCGGAGGCTTAGGTCCGCATTAAGTACCTTTGTTCATCGACTCCTGCAAGCCATGTTTATTAGAATCTACATTTCTCTCGCGCCCCAATAACTAGAGGTGTGTTTTGCGGGCAGGGGGCTTTCAGCACCTTTTGATCTCTCAAGGCCACCGCGACTGACTGACGGTTCCCAGTACTTTCCTATGCTATCCCCCACACTCCAACACCCATTCCAGTTAATCGCTTCGCAATTTGCAACCAAAAATACATAAAGAAACGCGACAAAGCAATCGGTTTGAGGAAATAAGCCAATTAAGCTAAAGCTGAAATGCCTCTCTCTCTCTCTCTCTCTCCCCCCTCTCCCCCTCCTCTCCCTCTCTCTCTCTTCCCCCTTGACTCCCTCCCTCTCCCTCTCTCCTTCCCTCTCAAGTAGAAAGGGGGAAACACCAAGGAGAGAGAAAAAATCGGGAGGAGGGTGGTAGTCGACTCTTACAATCAATGGAAAAAGAGTATACACATCTTTACTGAATAATACTCTCGTTCTCAGACAAAAAGAAACACATTTTTCGATGTAAACATAGTCTCCCTCTCCCATACATCCTACATCCTTTACGTTTGCTGAGATTTGTCTTGCTGTATGGCAAAGTAACTGTCACAAATCCATCTCGATTGAAGTGCTTACCCTCTAAATCCAGGTTTCAAGCGGAACTCCAACTGTGTGTAGAAGCCAGGGAGTCATCTGATGTGCGGTGAGGTAGGCTCTGGGCAGTGGGAGCTGCTTCTTCTCTCCGAGTGCCGGGTTACAGTGTTAACAAGCCCTAGGAAGGGACCTCGGCGCCTCGCGCTGGCTGTGCCCCAGTGCCTTCGCGTGGTGGCGGCTTGCTCATGCTTCCGAGGAGTCCCAGGCGATAGCCTTCAGCTGATGCGAGCTTCCAGAAAGGAGTGGGGAAGGGAAAAAATCATCTAATGCAATCAAATCGATCTGATCTACACCATCTGTCGCCTGCCACTATACACAAACGTTAAAATAGGAAAACGGAAAACACTGACAGCCGAGAGGGTTGGTCTGCAAAGAGTTCATTTTTAGCAGAGCATAATTGGATATGGTCGGCGTACAGTTACAAAAGCTGCTGTTAACCATCCAGTAGTGGATCCCAAACATGCTAATGGTGGATTAATTGAGGAAGATCTGACGTGCAAGCTTCATAGTCTCTTATTCATGACTTCCCAATGGGAAAGGACCAATGCCTTGTGGGACTATGGTAACATACAGTCAAAAAGCTGCTAAGAAAATGGCTGTGTGTTCACAGCACCTCTCTCTGATAACAAACATATGTCGACTAAAATGGTTTAGTAGAATGGGAGGGGGTGTTGGAGAATAAAATTTTCTTTCCCCGTGTAAGCAATCCCCATTTTCTTTTCTTAAAGAAAAGCAAAAATAGATATGATCTCTTTACCATAGTGGGGGGAAAAGGATGTTTTAAAAGGTTTTTATCAAGATCAAACTCTGACATATAAAAGAAACAGAACACTCCTGTGCAGCAATTCTTTTAAAAAAAATCTATTATCATTTTTTTCCTTACTGTGATCAAAGTAGATCCATAGCATGTGCAGTATACAGAAACTCAGTCCAGTTAATCCCACCAGGATTGACTCAAGGCTGTTTAATGCCAGGTACACTTTTGACTTCTTGAAATCAGGATGCCTTTTGGGAAAGGCATTTTGTATCATTTAAAATTGACATAATGAACATTAAATATGATTGCAGTGAGGAGATGAGAAGAGTTTTCCTTTCTAATTCTGTAATTACTCTCTCTAGCCAAAACCCCTTTTGGTTTGTTTCCAGTCTTCTCAGATCAGTTGATGGGGAAATATAGGGATGGAGGAGGGAGTGGAAATACCAAGGGGGAGGGAAAGAGAGTGTGGATTATCAATAGCCAATAAATTCTATTCCACTTGTAATAGAAAAATATGTAGCAATAAAAGAGATAACTCACTAATTGTTGATCATGATTTTAAGTTTAAACCAGTTTTAAAAATTAAGGTTTGATATATGGAAAGAAGACCTATTGCAAACAATGAGATGACTTTCCCCCACCCATTTATAGTTATAGGTTTAAAAAAAATTGAAACAGAGTTTATTATCTAGATATGTGACAATCTTTTATTAACTATATCTGAAAATTCCATGTTTCCTCTGATTTTGTCATTCATTTGAACATTGAAAACTATGGTCATTTTGATTTTGCTGCCTTTTCTTTGGTAACATACATTACACAAATTCCATAGTAAACAATTAGTGATCGTTCAGGAAAATTCTAAAGATGAATGTGTCTCCTAAAACTTTGATAATCTCTTTAAGAAAAAAAAAAACTAACAGTTATGAATTAGTCTAAAAATATAGCTTGAAGACAAATTAAACAATTTACCTATCTTTTGTTTCAATATACATTAATGAAGCACTCTTTCCAACCTACACAACATTCCAGGGTCATAGTCAGATATTCAAGTCTAATAGTTCAGCAGTCTTTGTTGTCATTCGTGTCAAGCTATTGCCCCCTGCAGGTTAGGCTGAAAGTGCAGGCAGAATTTGGCCAAGTCCTCAGGAAATTGATGGTAGTCAAGTTACTCAGTCTCTTCCAATATTTAACTAGAGTCAACTTTTTAAGTTTGCTTTCATTATGGTTTGAACTTTTTATTTACAGATAGGTAGTACATTAAGAAAAAATGCTCTTTAAAGACGTGATTTCTGTTTTTCTTCTGAGAATTTAGCTGCATGGAGTAAACCATCCACTTTGTTGTGATACAAGGAGCATTTTGATGCATTTAATATGGTTTTCTTCATCTTCCGTTATCCTTATTCCACAAGAGTCAGCAAAATTAAAAAGAAAACCAAACATAACAGAACTGGAATTATGAATTCTCAGTAATAAATATATAGCCCTGGACAATTTGATGTCGGTATGCTCTTGGTAGACTCAATGAAGTGCGTGCAAATCAGACTGTTTCAGATTCTCCCTGCTCCTGATATGATGAGGTCAATTACACCGTTTCTCTTGGTTATAAAATGAAACATAATTTCAGCCTCCATACTCCTGCTATACCATCATCCTTTCCCACAATCAACTTTTCCAAATAGGGCACCTTGCTCAGATGAAATAAATTTATAATTGACAGAATAGAAATTAAATTACATCAACTCTTTCACAATATTACAAAGTGGAGCAAGTTTATAGAAATGACTTCAGAAGGTTTATGGAAAGATCCTTTTATTCTTTGGAAGTCAATGATGTGGCTATTCACACTCAGTTGTAAAGAAACCAGCAATGGTATTTCCCTATTATATAAATATTCATCTCATTGAGCAGTGGGATATCATTATGTGAAATATAATCAATTCTAACACCAAATTAGCCATCAATAAGAATCTTTCTTAGTCAAATTATGGAAGTATTATTTCAACATTGTATTAAAGTAGCTAGAAACATGCACTGCACTTTGCTATTTTAAAGCTGTTATGAAACGCTCAAAAAAGACTTTAAGTTTAGTGGCAAAACTTGAGTCATTTTTGGAGGATTTTTTGTTACCCTAACCACTGATATGTTTTCTGGGTCCTCCAGAATGGACATATGGGATAGGAACTGGGGATAACTGTGTCATATTTTAAACAATATTAAAAACACAAGTCAACACAAAATAAAAATAACCTGAATACTTATCTCTGTTTTATTACATTTTCAAAGCTTGTTAAATTTCAAGAGGACACTACATCTATACATTAAAAGCTTTGCATCTACAGTTCATTAACACTCCTGCTCCGTGTAAAGAGGGCATTTGGACTAGGCTGTGAGACTATTAATTGCACAAATATATTGTAGCCAGAACAGTGACTGGTTGCCTGCAGCAGCCATTTCTAGTTGTCTTCGAGTAGGTTTTTTTTTTTTAAAGTAATCTCCCCTTCAAAGTCATATCTCACATATATATGATTATACCTGATTGTGTGTACTGAAGCACATTGCTATTGAGTCAGAAATTTTCAAGTATCTTGATTGAAATGACTGTCAAATACCTAAGAACAGAGTTGCTTTTAATTAGCCTCCAGAAAAGAGAGATGGTATTTGACCTGTGAGTCTTAATCAAGGGGAATA